TACCCACTGAACGAACTAGCTGGGGTCATTAGTTTATTATAACCTTAAAATAGAATTAGTGATATGATGTAAGGGAGTCAAAATTATTTCAACCTTTTATTATATTAATAAACATTTAAAATAGATATAGATATAGATATAGGTATAGATACAGATATAGATATAGATATAGATATAGATATAGATATAGATATAGATATAGATATAGATATAGATATAGATATAGATATAGATATAGATATAGATATAGATATAGATATAGATAGATCAACCACAAGGACCAAAGTATAAGCCTGCCAATCTTTTCATCTCTCTACCTGAACCACATCCATATTCCAGCCCTTGGTGCATTAGGTGTCACTGTTTTAAGTTGTTTTGTTTCTTTCAGAGTGTTCTGAGAGGCACATGAAGCAACTAAGGACTAAACAGGTAGGAGTCACATCGATAGCAATTGGCAGGGTCATTAAACCCAGGTCTTCTAATCCCTAAACTTTTCCACTATACCGTGCAGTCTGCCTTCCTCTATACACAAATACAGATTTAAGAAATGTTTGTTTAATTGAATTGTGAAAGATCCAGAAAGACATAAATACATACATCTGAACATGTGGCAAACCCAGCAGATGATGTGGGAGAGCTTTGTCCCTAAAAATACAACATGCCCATAGTCGTTACAGCATAACTTCCCAGGCATAAATGACATCAAGCAGTACTGACAAATTGCTTTAAAAATGTATAATCCTCAAATCTATACTTGTAGCTGATGAAATTAAAGCTTTTTTCCACAATCAAACACACACAATTTAGTATGTCTCAGAGTGATCAGCTCTAGTATAAATAGCACACCACTCTAAAGGTAACCTGAGTGGCTTCAAGTGTATCTTACCTGTTGGAGCTTGGATCTTTCTACAAGGATTCTTCATCATCATTGGTTCATACCTAAGCTCAGTATCTCACCACAATGATGTCTCCCCAACTTCTTAAATCATTCAAAAGCTGGCTTGCTGAAAGACATACTGTGAGGAAACAGAATTGCCTCTTCTAGGAAAGGGAATAAGAGGAAGAAAGGAAAGTGGATCTTGGTCCTAGAATCACAGGCATCATCTAGTCCAGACCAGTCATTTTACGTATGAGGAAACAGAGGTCTAATGAAAGGAAGTGACTTATCCAAGGTCACAAGAGCTTATTCACAAGTAATACATTCAATGTTACAGAGACCAGTGACAAAGTCACTAGAACCCAGGATTACTAACTGCCAATCCAGTGTTCTTCCTACCATACTACAAGTAGACTCCTTAGTTAGGTTTTGAGGTCATCCCTTGCCCACCGGTGTGAAGCTCTAACCCCCCACATACACATACACACATACACACACACACACACACACACACACACACACACATACCCCTTCACCAAGTTGTCTACAAAGCCTCTGATTAAATGTCTTCAGTGACAAGGAAACTCATCTCATGATGCAGTTTGCATAAATGAAGAAAAATCTGGATCAACAAATACATTCAATTCACTCCCAGGCTGATACATACAACCATATCAGCCAGTACAAATAGAAACCATAAGCCTTTATATTCCAGTTTCTTCTATTTCTGTTTCAGCATTGAACTCCATAAAAGTGACAGTATATCCAGGACTGTCCACATAGTATCATGGTACTAAAATCATAGCACTACAGATCTTACTGGAAATGAGTAGGGTTCTGGCTAACCTTATTATAGAGAGGTTTGAGCAAGGTTTACCGAGGTTTATCTTATTCTTTTTCCTACATGGAGCAGACCAACTTTCAGTATATTCGCAAAATGTTCTCACAACAAAGTTGATTTCCTGTTTCATAAAGGGGAAAAAAAATTGATTCAGACAGAGGACAGTGATGGAAAGGGGCATAAAGTCACACCATAAGTCAGTGGCAAAGCCCAGAATAGAATACAGCTCCCTGGATTTTCAATCTGGTACATTATCTACTGAAACCACCGAGCCTCTCTATAATTACGTGTTCTTTTCCAAGAGAGCCTGCAGTTGAATAGAAATGGATCTGGGATCAAAATACTGATTTGCTTGAAACAAAAGCCTAGTTTCAACAAGAAAAAAGCACTGGGTCTGTCTTCAGTGCTGTGAAAGACAAGCTAATTTTAAAAATTTATTATTATTGAATCTGATTATCTGATTATGGGTTTGAAGAGGACGACTCACAGATGCAAGACCAATTTTCTCCAGAAGGATACAAAATCATTTTAGGAATCAGAAATAGGTTGCATTCTAGATGTGTCACTACCATCAAGTTCAGAAGAAAAATCAGGGATTGGGTTCACATATCACCTACAGTCTAAGCTTTTCAGTCCACTCCAAAGTTGAACTATACAAAGCTAACAGAAGAGATTTGTGTTTTCAGTCTCAAAAGCCACAAAGCATTCCAGCTTCCCTGAAACCATTTACTACAGAGATACTTATGACTCAGGAATCAAATCCGATACTCCAGTAAAACCAAGCTGTTAACCTGTAGTCATGACATCAATGACAAGCAGATCATTTTGAAGCTGTCTCAAATATAGACGGGGTCTGCCATTCCCTGGATCCAATATGGCTTATTTGGGTGTCTTTTAATGTTTTGCTGTTTGTCTTGAAATTGCTGGGATGAAGGGAGGGAAGAGGCCAGTAGAAATGGGGTTAACAGCTCATCTCTGAAAGTCACTGAAGGTCCTCTGGTAGTATCAAGTGGTAGGAGCAGTTCCCAAGGGAGAGACACACCTCAAAGCTGAGGCAGATCGTTACCATAGCTTTACTTTCCAATGACACTAGGAAACAGTGAAGCAGAGCTGGCAAGAGCCTCTGTATGTGAGGGAGAGCTAATCTTGGTAATGGTTTGAGGCACACACACTCAGCAGAGTGTAATTTTGTGAGTGGGAGGTTTCAAAACTGAAGACTTAAAACAAATACATAAAAGAAATATGAAGATATGGGTGGTGAGGGGGTGTCCCATAACCACCCCCTCCCTTTGCTGATCAGTTGAGAGGCTGACTTGTTTCAGGGATGGAGAGTGAACTAGAAGAGGACAATTCCTAACCAGGGAGATTTTGGTGATGAAAAGTCACTAAGCACAGAAAAAAGGATGAAATTTTCTGCTCAACAATCTTGTGCAGGGGAAGGAGTCTGATACTGGATGGGAGGAAATGGGAAGGGCATTCAACTGTGACTAAGAACTGAGGCCAAGCTGAATTGAGAGGGAGCTCAGACGGGGCTGACTGAGTCCAGTTACAAAGATCGCGCAATCGCAGTCCCACTTGCAGCCATTCACTGCTAGTCTCAAACATTTCACAAGCCTGAGCATTCGCATTCAAAAGCTAGAAGGCTTTTTGAATTACTGCAGTTTGTCCTGGAGACAGGAGAGGAGCCCCTTCCCGCGTTGCCTCCAAGAAAAACCACACTAGACTCTTGGAAACGGTAGTGTGAGTTACCTACCACGAGGATGTATATCCCCGGGAAGAGTCAATCCTGTAACTCCACTGGTAAGATTTGGGAATTCGAGAGGACAATTCTCAGTTTTAAGCTCAGGCTGAAAGTGTACCAGGAGGTAAAAGATTAACCAGGGCTTAAAGTTTCCCCGATTCTGGGCCCTCCCATTAAATTAAAGAGGCTGAAGCTACCAAATAAACATAAGACAAAATGAAAATCCCAGAACCAACCAGTTACCATAAAGCAAAATAAATAGACTTTAGAAAAATGAAAATAATGAACAAACGTCAGTGAAGTTTAACTTTGAAATCTACCCAACACTACCGAAATGGGAGCATGAGGGGTGTGGGAGACTAAGGAAGGAGAAAGAGCTGGGATACACACACCACCACCACCACCCCAACCCCTGCTGCAGAGAGAGATCAAGGGATCGAGGCTGGTCTCCAGCAGGCAAGGATGAGAATGCAAGGTGGCAGTACTAGCTCCCGACCCCATAAACTGCAGTCAAGAGCCTCCTCCCCTTTGCCTGAAAATTCAGAATCGTTAATCATTCTCCACCTGCCGCGTTCAAATCTCAAGGAAACCATGGGGCAAGACCTCCGAGAACCGCCTCTCCATCAAGGAATCGGGAGCATCAGCCGAGGATCACGGTTCCTTTCACCACCACTACCAAGGAAATTCCCACAAGGCTGGGAGGTTAGGGGAGGGGACCTGCACGCACAAACTCAGCAACCAAACTGCGCTGCAACCTCAGATTCCCTGGTCTCCTCACTCAGGCAGACGGTGAGACGATCCAGCCCGGCAAATTCATTCTCAGGGGACAGGGGTCTCAAGTCCCTGCACTGTGTACAAGCCAGTAGGATGAGGCCAGGCAAGAGGAGTCATCGAGAGAGGAGCGTTCAAAAAATTCAGTCGACTAGCATCTATCTAATGCCTGTTGGGCGCAGAGCCCGGTACTGGGCAGAGAAAGATACCCAATTCAAATCATATGGTGTTAGTGTTTGTAAGGGACCTTAAAGATGGTCCAGACACAGATCCTCGCTTTCCAAATGGGGAAACCGAGGCCCAGAGAGGAGGAACGACTAGCCCAAGGTCACGTGGCCAGTTAGTGACAGAGACGGGATTCACACCCAGGACCTCTTGCTTCAACTCCAGCTCTTTACAGATAAAATACGCTCCCTGCCCTCAGGAAGCTCACAACCTAGTATTGGGATGAGGCACACACGCAGATAATAACTCTAATCCATAATATTTCATGCTGAGTGAATTAGCGAGGCTCCCAGGCAGGGAAATGCGCTCTGTGGGGTGACGGATCCTTTGACTTAAGCTGATTTTGGTATGGGTCTCCCTAGTCTCGAAGATGCCCCTTGGCCAGTGAAACCTTAGCGAGGGACAGAGGGGAGGGTGGCCAACATTCAGAAACAGCGTAGCCTAACCCAGTACACACACACACACACACACACACACACACACACACACACACACACACACACACACACACCTCTTTTGCTTCCAGCTTCTTACCGGGTCCTTACCAAGAGGCAGCAGGTCCCCCAAGTTGTGGCTCCCGCTCCTGCTCCGCCTCCGGCTCCCGATTACTGACCGCGGCACCGGGACTCTCCTTCTGGGGCTGCGAGGAGCGACGTGGAGGTGGCGTCCGCTTAGCGCCCAGATAGCAGGCTAGCAGCGCTGGCCCCACTCCCGCTCAAGCCACCGGTCCAACTCTGCGCTCATCGCCACCGAGGAAAACAAAAGGAAACCGGCGGAGAGAAAAGAGGAAACGAGGTGGAGGCGCATGGGGAAGGGGGAGGGAGGGAGGGAAGGAGGAGGCGGCGGCTTAGGGGCGGAGAGGGCGGGCTGGAGGGATGGCCGAGAGGGCGGGGATAGGGGAGAGGAGCAGCTACCAAAAGCGACGGGAGAAGGCTGGAGATGGAACACGTTGCGCTGAAGTTTGGCGCTGACTCGAGAGAGAGGGGAGACAGAGGACTAGGAGAGAGGAAGGGACAAGCAGCGATCACTCCTCAGTGACCCGCCCCTCCAGCCAAGCGCCCCAGGACTGGCCCGTCATTCATGCCCCCACCCTTCCCAGACCAGACTCTATTACGAAGGCGGGGCCGCGATGTAGGAGGCACCACGGCTGGACACCTCCCTCCAGCGCGCGCCTTATGGTCCTTCCCCTCCCTTCTCCAGCCTCCTTACCTCCGACTTCTCACCTGAGCACTGCGGAGGAGGGAGAAGGGAGGAAGAAGGAGGAAAGAGGGAGGGTTAGGGGCGACTGGGGAGGTGGTTCCTGTAGCTCCGGCTCACTTGGTACGCGCCTGCCCCGCCCCTGCCCCGCCCCCGTCCCCAGCCTCTGCACTGAGCCTCTGCAGCAGGCAGGAAGTCCTGAACAGCCCGGCCTCGGGAACTGGGCGAGGGGTGGGTTCCTTGAGCCTAGAAAGCGAGGAACACCCAGCTGGAGCTCTCTGGAGCGTAGACCATCCTCCTCAGGTTCAAGGTTTGTCTCCCCAGTACCCAGCACGGACCCTAGCCCAAGACGCTAGCTGCGTGACCCTTGGACAAGTCAGTCTGCCTGTGCCTAGTTTCTTCATTTGTAAAACGGAGATCATTCTACTTATTTCCTACTTCACAGGGTTGTTGTGAGGATCAAATAAGATAAGCTATTTAAGGCACTTCTCAAAACTTAAAGCAGTATATGTTCGCTATCATTATTGGACTCCGGAGGGGGAATGGTGGTAGATCGTCGTGTACCAGAAGTCAAGAGATTTTCATTTTTCACTCAATCCCCAAGGACCTAGAACATAGTAGGTACTTGATAAATGGCTTTTTTGCCTGCATGCTTTACTGTGTGGTTGAAGGAATGAATTGAGTGAATGAATGAATTCTACTCCTGACTCAGATATTTACATATGTCACCATAGATTAATTGGTTCACCTTTGTGAACCTTCCTTTACTCACCCTGTAAATTGGATCTAATAATACTTTCACGACCTAGTTCACAGGCCTGTTGTGAATATTAAGGTATTATACAAATACATACTATTATGAATAACTGTTTGATGACTTGAAGGCAGTTGGAAGATGCCCTCTATTTACTATGCTACCTAGCTCCATTGGCCCCTTTCTCAACCCCATTCTCCCCTTCCTTAAGAGATGCAAAGTATCTTCAGAATAAGGCTTTTCCTTTTCTCCCCACTTCCCAAAGAAGGGAATGAGTGAGTCATTTGTGGGAATAAATAGGCAAGACATTTAAAACCCATCCTTTCCAGATTCTTTGTGTCACTCTAAAAAAATAGGTTTATCTTCTTAGGCGAGTACAAATATATACACTACCCTTTCCTCACCTCCACCAAAAAGAAAAAAAGCCTTAATTTCTGAATAAAGTTTTCCTAAATTTTTAAGATGTGGAACTACAAGGAAAATTAGAGATCATCTCAAGGTTTCTTAACCTAGGGTCCATGAACATATATATGTATATATTTGTATATATCTATGTGTGTATGTATGTATATAAATACATACACATTTATAGACACACACATGTATATAACCCTATTTCGATATAATTGGTTTCTATTGTAATCCTATGTATTTTGTTTTATAGATTTTAAAATGTTATTCTGAGAAGGGGTCTATTGGCTTCACCAAACTGTTGAAAGGCTCCATCACCACACACACACACACACACAAACACACACACACACACACACACACTCACACACAAAACTTAAAGAACTTCTGCTCTGGTCCAAGTTTCTCATTTTACAGATGAGAAGAAACTGAAGCCCAGAGAGGTGAGGTGTTACCCAGGGTCACACTGTAAGACACAGTTAGGATTCTAATCCAGATCTTTTGACTGCCAATCTAGTACTATTTTCACCCTATATGATGCCTCTTCAAAGCTATCATTTTAATGTCTCTAAGGAGAAACTCATAATCCAGTTCCCCTCCTGCAAAGCCTCTGCTGGATACACTCAGGTTTTTTTATTTTTTAAATCATTAAAAGACCTATTATGTTCAAGGCCCAGTGTCACCTTCATATCCACTCTGGTATATACAAAGATGAATTAGTAGCAGCTGCTGCCCTTGAAGTTACCAACAATCCAGTAGAGGAGAAAAGTGATATACTAAACTGAAGTACAAAGAAGAATGTGACTAAGTGCATCCTTCAAGGTGCTGCTCAAATGCTACTGCTTCTGTGAAGCCTTCCTTAATCCCTCTGGCTTCCATCCCTCCTCTAAACTCTCATAGGACTTTGTAGCTCTTACCTATTCTCCTATAACATGCCAATGTATTCTAATCACTTGTGCACATGTCATCTTTCCTATCTCAGCAAGGGAGCTCCTGGTGAACTGAGATTGTGGCTTATTTTTATATCCTTAATGGCAGGGAACTTTGAACAGAGTAGGTATTCAATGAATATTTGTTGATTTGCTGAATTAAGTGATTTGCCCAGGGTCATCACATCACAGCAGACCCAGAACTACAATCCATGCTCCTGGCTCTTTACAGTTTAATCTAGTACCTAAATAAGTACTATTTGACAAATAATTATAACACTATGATTAAATTCAATAAATTCACTCAGTCTAAAATCAGTGTGGTACAATAGAAAAATCGCTGAATCTGGAGACAGGACTGATATATAATAGCTCTGTGGCCTTGAGCAAGTCCCCTGTCCTCTCTGAGCCCTTGGGTTCCTCAAATGGAAATGAGCAAATTGGCCTAAATGATTTCTAAGGGGTCCCTTCCAGCACTAAAGCATGTGAAGCTATAAAGCTCTTAGAAATAGAAGGAAGTGGGGGCAGCTAGGTGGTGCAGTGGATAGAGCACTGGCCCTAAAATCAGGAAGACCTGAGTTCAAATCCGGTCTCACACCAAACATTAGATACTTAACTAGCTGTGTGACCCTGGGCAAGTCACTTAACCCCAATTGCCTAAAAAAAAATAGAAGGAATCTACAAACCAAGCATTTGGGAAAATCTGTGATCAGTTTATTTATGTGGGATACTTTTATTTCCAAAGTATTATTTCCCTTGTAATTACAGAACAGATATAAATTTAGCTGTAAATTGTAGCTGTAAATTTTAAAAAAAATGATTGATATTTGTTCCTAGCAGATGTTGTGGCTATGGTTGTGGCTGCTTCAGTCTTGGCTCATGGCATCTCTGCTCAGTGTATTTTCATAATCACAGAATCTTAAAAGCCAGGAGGGATTTGGTATGAACTTAGCCCAACCCTTTCCTGAGTAAGAATTCACTCTACAACATACCTAACAAGTGATCAACCATCTTTTGTTGGAAGACCCTCAAAAAGAGAGAACCCACTCCTTCCTGAAACATTCCATTCTACTTTTAGATAGCTCTGTTCACTAGGAAGTTTTCTTTATATGAAACCAAGGTCTGCCTTTCTAACCTCCACCCTTGCTCCTCATTCTTTCCTTTGGGGCCAAGCAAAATGAGTCCAATCTTCTTCCATTTGATAGTCATTAAAATAATTAAAGTTAGCTGTTATATCCCCTAACTCTTCTTCAGGCTGAACATTCTCTGTTTCTTCAGCCAGTTTTCATATGGCATAATATCAAAGTCCTTCACCATATTGGATAGCCTCTTTTGGAAACTCTGGTTTAGCAACATACATCCAAAAACGTGGTGCCAGAAATCAACACAACACTCCAGGTATGGTCTGACCAGGGCAGAGCATAATTATCCTACCACCTTGATAGTCTGTCTTAATGTAATCTAAGATTGCATAGGCCTTTTGCAGCTGTATCACACTGTTGAATAATATTAAGCTTTCAGTCCCCTAAAACCTCTGGTTTTATTTTTATATATATATATATATGATTTATATATATATTATATATATGATATATATATATATTATATATGTATATGAATTGCTAACTAGATAAATATACCATCTTACTTTTGTAAAGTTAATTTTTCTGACTCAAATGTAAAACATTTATCATAATTACATTTGATCTTATTAGATTCCTTTAAATATCACAGCCTGATTCTGTCAGGAACTGTTTTGGTTAACCCTCTCATTTTAAGTCATCTGAAAATTTGAGAAGCATGTCATTGATGCCTATGTCATCTCTGTCACTGACAAAAATGTTAATCAGCACATGAATCTTACTAGAAATCTACTTACAGGTTGGTATCAAGCCATGAATGACAATTCATTAAGTCCGTTCAGCCAACCCATTATGAAGTCACTGCTCAGGGTGACTTTTCTTCATTACCCCAGTGTCTTATTTTGGGTGCTATGATCTACCTCATGGTATGAGGTGCTTCTAATGTATGAAAATCTTCCTGTTAAAGGTCAGCTAAGTGAAAGATAATGCCAGTATTTTTATTTTTTATTATTTTTATTATTACAACTTACTTTGTATTGAAAGTGCAAGTATGACCTCTATTTTGGGGGAAAAGTCCTTTCCCAAATTGAAGAAACTTTTGTATTAAGTTTGTTTTATTGTAATCCTTTTGTGATAGCTTGTTAGAAGTAGCGGATAGAGAGCTGGACCTGGAGTCAGGAAGTTCTGAGTTCAGAACCAGCCTCAGACACTTACTAGTTATGTGACCTTAGGTAAAATGGAGATAGTAGTACCTATCGCCCAGGGTTGTAGTGAAGATAAAATGAGGTAATATTTGTAAAGCACTTAAAGTTCTATACAAATGGGGAAGAGAATAAGCATTCATACAGCACCTATTGTGTGCCAAGAGTTGTTTTTTCTTTTCAAATATCTCATTAGATCCTCACAACGACCTTGTGAGGCAGGTGCTACTATTATCCCCATTTTACAGCTGAGGAAACGAAGGCAGACAGAGGTAAATTAATTTGCCCAGGATCACACAGCTAGAAAGTGCCTGAGGCTGGATTCGAACTTAGGTCTTCCTGAGTCCATACTTTGCCACCAGCTGCTATTAACTAACAACTATTATTTTCTTTGAAGCATTTCCTCTTGTAAACTCATAAAGTGCAAAAGTGCTTTGTGAAAAGTGCAACAAGATTTTTTTCTTCTAATTTGCAAAGGGTTCTGTGCCCATCTCTTCATTCAAAGATAGCAATGACCTCTATCAAGGTTATCCCTAGGATATTTTTTAGCATGTAAATCGAGAAAGCTCCATATCCTGAAATAACTGCTATCTCCCAATGTTATGGATTGTATGAGAACCAGTCTATCTTGGGTTCCCCCCTCTCAGACCAGAAGCGTCTACATCGAAGGCCTCTGAGGGTCTTGAATGTGAGCTTAGGCCAGTCTGAAACACTAATCAGGTGCACAGAAAGACTATCCACAAGTGCCCTGACCACTTAGCACAAAGAAAATACCAGCCTTAAGCTCAGGCATTTGCCACCTGGATCTCATTGCTCTCAAAACTTCAAGAAGAACTGAAAACGAGAGCATTTCTGCTAAGAAATGACTGGGGCAGGGGCAGTAGCTTTTCCACTATGCTAGAGCAATCCAGCCTCAAATGACATTAGTGTCAAAGACTTGGTGTTCTGTTGTATCAGCTTTATTGGAGCAACAAAAATGCCCAGAGTAGTGTGCTCCTCCTCCATCCATGGAAGCACCAATTGGGATGGCCTTGATGGTGTGAATGCTTCTTGCACTCACTATTCATCCAAGATGTGACCCAAAGTAATTCATTTCTTGTTATAGTTCATATGCATCAATAAATCCTATCAGAAATATATCAATTATGTGTTCAGGTTTTTTCTTAATTTTTAATAGCACAGGGATGAATTTTTTTTAGCCACATAAATAATTTATAAAACATTTGATGCTGAACATTA